ATTCCTTTCCTCCAGAAACCTCATGTGATTCAATGAATAATGCATATCTAATTACGACAGGGCATCTTCCTCATCATACCATTCTGTCCAAATGTTGATTTGGGATCGTTATAAATAAACACACACACACGCACGCACGCACACACATGCACATATATTTATGCACACACACGGGCTAACTACTTGTATATCTATACACACACACGCGCTAACTACTTGTATGTTTATACACTTACACACACACGTGCTAACTACTTGTATATTTATACACACATATACACACACACGAGCTAACTACTTGAACGGTTGACTCCTAGCTTCCCTTCCATCAAATTGGCTGATATTTTAACGTTAATCAAATCGGATAACAAGCAACTGTGCCATCTGACAGCGTAAGTAATAGAAACACATTGCGTTGGCTGAGCTGAAGATGATACTTAGAAATAACGTGGCTCGCCTGCTCAAAGTTTAGAATGCTTTCAATGACCATGGTGTCTTTCACGCAACAAAACCTCATTTTAAAAGATTGAAGTTTATCAGAGTTATGGCCAGATAGATGACCGATTTTGAAAACATTGTGCAACGAAGGCTTCAAATGGAAGTCGTGTCGCGAACGTATCTCAAGACTTTTCCTTTTTCAAAGGTAGCTCGAAGTGAAGTTAAGCGTCAAAATGGAGTTGAGTAAGAACGTTACGATTGACGACGACAACCAACGACACATCGCTACTTCACTATTTTTTCAAACACAGATAAGAGAACGCAAGTTCATATGTAAAGCATTTAACTCCCAGTTTTTTAACGATATTCCCAACGATAAATAGAGGAAACAGAGTTTAATGAACGAAATTTTGAATAAAAACACAAATTTTAAAAGCATTCACCTAGACAGAATTGAAATAAAAAGAAGATAAAATGATTGTATCTACATTTAGATCAGGATAAATACTGTAAAGAATGACCCAAATGTCATTTTATTTCATCAATTAACAGATACACAACAGTATGCTTGATATGTGATTGGGTGGTTAAATAAAACTATGAAACGTGGTTGGTTGATGAATGAGTGAGATGATAACACATTTAAATGCGATTGTATGGTCAAAAGAAATTGTGCATTATGATTGGTTGATGAGTGAGATATAACAACATGATTGGACGATCGAATGCGTCTTGATTGGTTGATGAACTTTAAAGATCTCATGCGATTGGACGATAGACAGCTTTCAGGTGCAAGTTAACCTTCTTTGTTGTCACTCTGGTTGGATAAAAGTTATATTCCCATTTATAAAACAACAAAATCCACCTGAACAAACATTTAATAATATAGTTGAATAAATAAATAAAAAATCTATTACGAATCTTACTTATTAAACGAGTTGTCAAAGATAAAAATGTACATCCCTGATTTGTTGGGGACCAAAGAAGCGACGACATCTTTTAAATGACTTTGTAGTTTAGTCGGAGGAAATATTATGTCTATGGTTGATATAGGATGACGTGAGGATGATCGTTGCACCGATGATGGCTCGGTTGCTGTTGTTGTTACTATTGACGATGATGAAGAAGATGACGATGATGATAATTGAGATGTTGTCGGCGTAACCGATGACGTCAAAGATGACGTCATCTCATCTTTAAAGACGATACTAAACGTAATTCCCTGAAAAAATCCGAAAAAAAAAATTTCAATTTTGAATTAATGTAATCACATTCAACATCTTCATCACTACTATCATCCCAATCATCATCATCATCATCATCATCATGAAGATGACAGCCATCGTGAAAATGAAAACGCACCTTGGGGTGCGTATTGAAGGACCAATGAAGATTGTCGATGAAATCACGTGACATCCGGACGGGAAGAAATATGATTTTGCCGGCAGTCGCTTCCAAATGCTTTACCAGCCAGGAGGAAGACGACGACGATGGCTGTGATGATAATGATGACTGAGTCTGCGCCAGCGACGACGATGATGATGATGATTCCGGTAATTGTGATAAAGATGGTGACGTCAGAGATTGGTTGTAGTAGCTGTTCAGGTCGATGACGTCTAGGAAGGTGTTGGTTCTGTTTTAGAGGGGAAATGAAAATAACTACACTCACCATGACACCACCACCACCACCAACAACAACAACAACAACGACGACGACGACGACAACAACAGCAACGACAACAACAACAACGACGACAACAACTACAACAACAACAACAACTACAACAACAACATCATCAACAACAACAACAACAACACCATAACCCTTACCACCACCACCAACAACAACAACTTCATAACTCCTTTCGCCATCACAGCAGCAACTATAACTAACTCGTCATTCTTCATATTGAAGATACTGGCTTCTATGACCTCATCAATGCATATGACGTCATACAGGTTGCTCCTTCGTTCCAAGTGAGTTGAGAGGGAGAATTTTTTTAAATTAAAGATTCCATAATAGAATTTTAATTAGAAGATCATAAAAGAAAAGAAGAGAAACTACTTAAAAAAGATTCATTCTTTACTCACCTGTTCATGGTCATCTTTTCATCATCTGCAGGGATCTTTGTTATCATTATCATTATGAATATAACTCTTTTTTCCCGTCACTAAACTAGCCACCTGATTAGTCGTTTTGCTCAGTGACGTCATCGTGGCTTCCGCCATCCATGACGTCAGTACTTTAACACCATCCGTCCATCGCGAATATGATGATGATGATGGTGGTGGGGGTGGTTGTGAAGAAGATGTTGGTTGAGATGATAATGATGATGATTGTGGCTCTGACGTCTGTAATACTAATGACGTCATCAATCTAGATAACGCTGATGATGTCACCTCAGCCGGAAGTGAAGATGAAGAAGATGACGACGACGACGGTGTTGGTGGCGGAAGTGATGATGATAGCGATGACTTTTGCGACGAAGGAGGCAATGATGACGATTGTTGCGAATGTGATGATGATGATTGTTGCAAATGTGATGATGATGAGTGTTGCTGCAGCTGCTCATACAACATCATCTTGTCATCTTTCAACTCTTCACACTGTCTCCACAATGACTCTTTATCTCTGAGGTAGTGATGATGACGACGACGACGACGATGATGATGATAATAATAATAATAATAAAGATAATGATGATAATGATCAAATCAAAACACGAGCCCACCTCAATAGCTGGATGACCTTCTCTTTCAAAAGACCAACATCTTTCTTCAGCATCTTTTTCTTCTCCTGTCTACTATCTCTATCCTTTGACAACTATATATATATATATATGTTATATATATATATATATATATATGTGTGTGTGTGTGTGTGTGTGTGTGTGTGTGCGTTTTTGCTGCTGTTGTAAATGCTAATCATTTGCAAATAATACAGTACCAGTATGCAAATATGCTAATTATATGCAACTGATATGCTAATTACTGGCATTTGATAAGTTAATTATATGCAAAGGACACGTTAATTATATGCAAATGATATGTTAATGGCTTGCTGCGTACCAAGCAGGCTTGATTTCTGAGTGATACGTTCTCAGTTTCCAGGCTCTCCAAGCAGTCGTTCATCTTGTCCATCTATGAAAAAATATTTTGAATTAAAGATTATTAGCAGGAAAAAGAAGCCATCTTCTAAAAAGATTATAAATAGATGAATAGATAAATAGATGAAAAAGATTATAAATAGATGATATATTTATTCAAATTAATTAATAAACCGTTGAAAAATGAAGAGATAGAATATTAACACTATCATCAAAGTCCCGCCTCATCTTCATCATGTCGTTCTTGTACTTTTCACTCAACGTCTTCATCCTCCTCACCTCCTCCTTCATCTCATTCATCCTACTTTCCGTCACTCCCTGGCCGACCAGCTCTTCTAATTTCTGTACAATTCGATTGTACACTTATTTGCATGCATCGTGAGTGTGTATATGTTTGTAGATGCGTGTGTTTGCACTAATAATTTCGTGAATATTAACAAGAGAAAATTTTCAGTTAATGCATACCTTAATTTTATCAACATATTTGTCCCTTTCAGCTTCAAATCGATTGTAAAAAGACTCTTCTGATTGGCTGAATGCTTCCCTGGCTTCTTCCAATAGGATCTCCCGTCTCTTGTAAGAACCAATCATGATTTCTGTATCATTTTTCAGTTCATTTATTATATCTTCCTTGCTTTTTAATTTGTTTTCGAGGTTTTTGATGATTTGTTCTTGAGTTCTAAGCTCCATTGATGTTTCATAACTTTCAATTTTACTCTTCAGCTCATCGATAATCTTTAATTTCTCACTTAGATCAAACTTTAGATTGTTGAACTCTATAAAATTCTTATCCAAAGTACTTTTAATCTTCAGACACTCTTCATTATCACAGCCCATCCCTACTTCCTGTTGACCTGACTTGGTGACCTTCTGCTCTAAGGTGATGAGCAGTCTATCAACCATTGCTTCGTTGATGTGGCAGCTGTAATAATCATCATCATCACCATCTGCATTTTTATTATTATTATTTCTGGCATCATTATCATGACCACAGATATCGGCTACTCTTTCAACAAATGATTTCAGGATCAAATGATCTCTCTTCAGTCGTTTTAATCTCTCAATCAGTTCATCAATTTTTAAATCCTTTTCACTTTTCATCAGTTCCATCTCTCTATCCTTTTCCTGTAGGGCAGCCAGACATTCATTCATAGTTTTCTCAACTTTCAATTTGCTCTCGTCAATCTCCATCACCCTCAGCCTCAGTCCGTCGTTATCTCTCTCCAAATCTTCATAGGCCCTCACCATGAAATCACTCTCTCTCTTCTGCATGATGTTGTGGTTAAGTTGCTTGGTGACAGTTTCTAATGAGTTGTTTAACTCTTGGATTAACTTTTCTTTAGCCATAAGTTCACTTTTCAAAGTGTCTGATTTACTTTTATATGTTTCATACAAATGTTTATAGTCCGTTGTAACTGGCTCACAGTCATCACATTTATTGTTATTTTTATTATTATCATAATTCATGTTCAACTTTGGTGGAACAGAAAAAACAATACCATCTTCAACATCGTCCTCATCATCACCATCATTTTTATGAGTAAGAGAAATAGTGATTGTATTCCTCTTTTTATCATCATCATCCATCTTCTTTTTTTACACTTTGAAAATTAAAATAATAAATCGTTAAGTTAGTAAATTAGTCAATTGAATTGAAGAACATTGTCTATTAAGGGCTGTGGAGTTTTTTTAATGTGGTTTTCAGTTAGAGCAGTTTTAGTCATAACTTGTGAGAATCATAAATTAAAAAACAAGTAAATAAATAAAATAAAGTAAGCAAATTTATCACCATACCTGAGTTCCTGAAATAGGTGAACCAGTAAATGAATAAACAGAAATCTTTTGATTAATTTTTAATCTATAAAAAGATTTTTTTCCAATTTAACGTAACAGTAGTTGATAAATATAACATGCAGCATATGACTTTCCTTTGTTTTATTTCATTAACTATTGTTTTGTTCTGGAAAAAATAAAAACAAACTTTTTAAAGATTATTTCATTAACCTTCTTTTCAAAGAAATAATTAAACGTTAAAAATTATAATTTTGCATCTACTGACAATTTTTTATGACTTCGAACAAATTTCCCCCAGCAGTCAGGACACCATTTAACTACTTTTATTAGCAAAACGCCAAAATTGAAACACAATATTTATAGAATCGAATTCACTTTTGATAACCACAGAAAAGTATTGAACGAGGATTAAATGAAATTAAGCGCTAGATGTTTAGAAAAATCCACCATCAACCGCAAATTTTCTACACGAACTTTTCCATAAATCAAATGAGGCAATATATAACACATATGTAAAGATACATTTATATATATATATATATATATATACATATATGCTCACATATGACTAAATAATTACAAAAATATTAGAAAAAGTATAATATATCTAATTGTGTCCAGATCCAGATAAATAACTATGTGTATATATATACATATATATATATATATATATATATATATATATATAATATACAGATATAATCATTAAATATAATATTATAATATTAATCAGGAAATAAATGTGTTGTTGTAATCAGAAAATAAACACATCACTATGTATTGATGAAGTTACAGATCATGCACAATATATATATATATATATATATATATATATATGAGTATACATGAGTATATATATATATTTATATGAGTATACATTATAAATGTTGTATGTAGGTGGTAGCGGTTGATTGTGCAAATAGCAATCTGTAGCGATCAATGAGAGAAAAAAAGAATGGAGACAAAAGTGAATGAAATAACTGAAAATATGTACACATACACGCACGCTGGCATGCGTACAAAAAAGCACATACACAGATATGTACACAAACATATATTTATTTTATAAAAAAGGGATAGTCGGACAGAAAGAGGGAGAGAAAGAGAGAGAAAGAGAGAGAGTAACATTGAGAGGAGGTTTTCCTTATAAAAGATCTTTATTTCAAATCAATCTTAATGGCTTAGAGTGACTAACTGCAGTTACTACTATACGATGACAAATTAGATAGACGACGACTACCATGATGACAAACAGTTATAATAATTAGGATAAAATTGAAAAAGAACAAGCAAATTTAGACAGAGACACGCATGCATGCACATTTGAACAAAAATCAACCCGCGAATATTAAGTAATATTGGATGATATTGGTGAATAGTAGAATTATAAAGATTTACCCACCACCAATTTTCTTATTGCATTATGACCAATCAATCAATTAATCAATCAATCAATCAATCAATCAATCAATCAATTAATTAATCTATCAATCAATTAGTCGATCAATCAATCGTTCGGTCAATCATTCATGCATGCATACAAATAGATTGAGAATATAATATTTTAAAGAAGGGAAAACCCATGAAAATATCTTTTGCCGGGATTTTTTTTGACAAAATGCTTCAAGAGTATTGGCTTCAGGTATTTTTTTGAATATTATTACCGTAAAAAAAATGTTTACTAGAAGAATCTACGATAATCCATAACAGCTCGTAATCAATAAATGAACCTCAACAACGGACAAATAGTCAATTAGGTAATAATAGGAATAATTAATATTAAACGTAATTATAGAAGAATAGATTAATAGTATGGTATGGCATTTACGATAACTAGCACACTGTTATTAACAATACCAGCAACTTACCTACAAACATATAACCAGCTAATTCAATCAATCAATAGATCGATCGATCAACCAAACAATCAATCAACCAATCAATCAACCAATTAATCAATCAATCAACCAACCAATCAATCAATCAACCAACCAATCAATCAATTGATCAATCAATTGATCAATCAATCAATCAATCAATCAATCAATCAATCAATCAATCAATCAATCAATCAATTGATCAATCAATCAATCAACCAACCAATCAATCAACCAACCAACTAATCACCCAACACTAATTTTATCTTCATAGAGAGCAATGACAAGCATTATAGAGGCTCCCAACAGCATACCACAGACTTGAAGACTTAGATGGAGGAATGGGTGCTCACCCTTTTTAGGAGCGACAGACTTCATTTCAGGCAGCTGTTTGTGTGCGTGTGTGTTCGTTTGTGTGCGTGTGTGTTTGTTTGCGTGTGTTTGCTTGATTGTGTGTATGTTTGATTGTGTGTGTGTGTGTATGTTTGTTTGTGTGCGTGTGAGTTGCTTTCGTTTTAATAAAGTGTGTGTGTATGTTGTTTTTGTGTTAATAAGTCAATCTAGAAATCATTTGTTAGTTTGTTTGTTTGTACTAAGACTAATCATTCACTAATTTATCTGTCAAAATGTGACCATTAGGTCAACCAATCTACATAATTTCTTAGTAAAAATCAGCCAACCAACAAACTAGACAACCACAAAGTTATCCACACAACCAACCAACCAACCAACCATCCACACAACCAACCAACCAACCGACCGACCGACCGACCGACCGACCGACCGACCGACCGACCGACCAACCAACCAACCAACCAACCACACAACCAACCAACCAACCAACCAACCACACAACCAACCAACCAACCAACTAACCAACCAATCACAAAACCAACCAACCATACAGTCAACCAACTAACCATATCAACGAGTGCGATGTACATGAACATCCCAGCGACCAGCATAAATATCCAGGGTGTTGTTTGGACGATGTTGCCCACTGAGACTCCAACACACATGCCGATGAAACATAGGATGGAGGACACGATGTTGTAGACCAGGGCCTGCTTACTGGACATCCCTGCACTCAAAAGCATGGCAAAGTCGCCTAGATGGGTGGCCCATAATCAGGAAATCAATCGGTTAGTGTCAGACAGCCAGGCAGCGACTCAAACGGACAGCCACTAGCAGCCAATCACCGGCTAGTCAATCAATCAACCAATCAATCCATCAATCAACCAACCAACCAATCAAACATCACCAACCAACCAACCAATCAAACATCACCAACCAACCAACCAATCAAACATCACCAACCCAGTTCATGAGGCAACTCATGACAGAAGACGGCGATGGAAGTACTCAGTCCATCTTGAAGGCTGCTTGAGAAGGCTGACCCTGGATTTATTCATTTTCATTTGATTTCGTTCATTCAATCATTCATTTTTTTTTCCTTTGGTTATTATAATCCAAATCAACCAATCAACCCACCAACCGGACAACCAACCAACCAATCAACCAGCCAACCAACCAGACAACCAACCAACCAATAGCAATTCCGTCAGCGAAATTATGGAAGCCATCCCCGACGATGACCATCCAGGCCACGGCGGCCACAGAGCCAGGGACGTGGTGGCTGTGATGATGATGATCACCGCCGGTCGGCGGTATCATCATCATAACCTCGTTGGCCGGTGGCGGGTCGCAATGGCGGTGCATGTCGTTGTGCGCGTCATCCGCCATCTTCTTGATGTCTGTGACGATGTCGTGACGTCATAAGAAAGAGGAACATCCCAGTACGAACAATCATCTCATTTGCAAACTAACCCTTGCTGGCGTGCACCACCATCATCATCTCCTCACAAGTTGTCGTCGAGCGATGCCGGCGATTATTGCACTTTCCATCCTGATCGTCATTGGCCGTCGCCGTCGATGACGTCACGTGACTGTTGTTGCTAAGGTACATGTTAGGGTTGCTATGGTGATGACCTGCCGATGCTGCTGCTGCTGCTCTGACGACCTCCGGTTTGACCTTGTGCCCTATTTCGATTCTGTCACCGGCGCTGTCGGGCAGCATGGCGCAGACGGAGGGCGTTTTTTCAGGTGTGGCATTCTGTCGTTTTGATTGGTTGATTGGGTTGGGGAGGTGAAATTTGATAGGCTGATCAAATAAGAAGGTAGAGTTTGAAGAAAATAAATGCGTACAAGCTGGTATTTTTTATCTTTGTTCTTCATCCTCTTCCTCTCTGACATGATCCCCACGAGTCGTTCGACTACAAAGAACACGAACACGCCCCCAAGAGCTGTCAATCCCAACCAAACTGTGTTTTTGTGGTCGTCGTGATGGTGCTCATCATGGTGCTCATCGTGGTGCTTGTGAGGTACCATGGCCTGCCGTGCAAGTTTAATTCATTAGTCGTGTCTGCTGTTTGGATAGTTCAGCAATCACGTCAATCAGTCTTAACGTCACCATCGTTATCTCATTCATGTTCACATCCATGTTCACATCCATGTTCACATCCGTCTTCACATCCGTCTTCGCATCCATCTTCGCCGGCATCGTCATCTTCCTCATCGGCCCCACCATCGTCACTAACGTGGGGTATGAGATGCAGTAGGGCATCTCCGGACAACGACCCGATAGCCATGGCGACGAGGAACTGGAGGACGTGGTTGTAGACGACCTTGTGCATGAACGGGATGATCACGACGGCCAGTAGGCCCACTAGGCTCATTATTATGCAAGCCAAGATGGCGTAGCCCCAAGCTATGTGTGAAAGATGATGATGATGATGAAGAGGAAGAAGATGATGATGAAGAGGAAGATGATGATGATGAAGAGGAAGAAGATGATGATGGCAGTGACGATGATTAATAAAATAATGATGGTGATAATGATAAAAAAATGATGATGAAGATGGTGACGATAAAGCAGATGATGATGGAGTGTTGAAAGATGATGGCAACAATACAGAAAGCAATGGAGACGCTGACAACATGAACGACAAACTCGATAAGGAAGCAGATTTCTTTTCGTAAGCCCCATCATCTTTGGTCACGTGACTGGAGTTTCCATGACGATGATGATGATGATGGCGGTGGTGGTGATGATGATCATGCTCGTCATCAACAACTCCAAAAAAATTCAAAAACTCATCATCATCATCACCATTGTTATTGCAATCAGTGGACAGTGAGTAGAATATGGCGGGACAAACATCAATTAATGATTTGGCTGTTAGATTTACCACTGGTGATGATGATGACGATGACAAAGATGATGATGATGATGACGACGACGACGATGATGATGTTGGTTTTGCTGCTTTTCGCAGATACGACAGTAACAATTTGAAATTTGAGCAGTTTCTCTGTTTGACAAATGGAAAAAAAATCACAGTTAGCTAACATGAAAGATAGAAAATTTCATCTGGCAACAACTTGAAAGGACTGGATGAACATGAATGAATGAATGAATGAATGAATGAATGAATGAATGAATGAATGAACGAACGAAGGAATGAATGAATAAATAAACCAATGAATAAAAAAATAAACTAATGAATAAACAAAAAGGACATTGTTTATACAATTAAAATCATGTCACATATATATTATATATATATATATATATATATATATATATATATATATATATATAAAACTACTGCTTTATCTCTAATTAAAATTCTGCTAAGTTTAAAAGCTTCATTTGAATACTAGGATGATAGATAAATAAAAATAATAATAATGACTAGGATGATAAATAAATAAAAATAATAATTCATACCAGCAGTAGTGCTTGGTTAAAAAAACATGGTACATTAGCAATAGATCTACATACATACAATACATATACATTGTACTATTCTTGGTTGTGCTAGGTAAGCTTCTTAATGAACTCTTTCACAACCATCCTTACTTCTTATCATTATGTTGCATCATATTGAGGAGGAAAATAAAATATTGTATTGTATTGTATTGTATATTACATATACATGTGAAGAAGTATACAAGAGGGATGATAATACAATAGAATGATTACATGATGGTGATGATAATGATGTAGTTCGTCGTCGTTGTGCTGGTGATGATCCCCATCTTCGGTATCATCATCATGATGGTTGTGATCGTCGCCAAAGCCTTCCAGATGGCTGTAGAGAAGTTTCAGTTGGGTGACATTCAGCATGGAGTTGTTGCTGAATCTCGAGATCACTTTATTCATTAACTAATTGTAAAAAAAAAATAATAATACCAGTAAAAGTAACAATAATTATGAAAAAATAAATTCTTTTCTAAAAAAAATATTTAATTAAATTTAAAATCAATAAAAATTAAAAGCCAAAACAGAAACTGATAGCACTCACCACAGCACATACAGACAACCATCTAATACCAACTACATTACATTACAGTACACTAATTTAACACTATCTGACCTGGTTGTACAGCTGTAAATTGGAATCTGGATAAGTTACATCTTCCACTCCAACTTCACTGCTGTGATGGTGGGCTCCATGTTCCTCCTCGTGACATATGCTGACTTTTTCAAAGATAATTACAGTGATTAGGAAGGTACAACCAAACTTCAACAGAGACATCATTTTATTTCTTTTAGGAATTTTTTTCTTAAAATTTATCCTGGTTGAAAATAAAAAAATTTAATAAAGTTTTAGTTGTTATTGTTAGCAAAAAACTAAACACAATCAGTACTAAATCCTAACTTTCCCAGCTTCATATATTATTTATTTTATACATTCATAGTCATAGTGAGTCATACATACCCATGGCACTATAAAACTGTATCAAAAGTCTTTCTAGTTTAGAGCTTAAAGTTTTTTTATAATTTATTTTATATTATAAAAAACAATTTAGTTTGTTCGTTTTTAATATTTTTCAATTTTTAAATTAAAAATATTAAGCAACTAAGTAATTTCTTGGTTTAAAGTTTTTTTTATAATTTATATCATAAAAAACAATTTAGTTTGCTCGTTTTTATTATTTTTCAATTTTTAAATTAAAAATATCAAGTAACTAACCAATTTTTTGGAGTTTACTTTAATTAATTTTTATTAAAAATAATAAAATTAGGTACCTAGGGCAGAATTTCTTGTGTCTATTCAACAAATTTTACTAAAAAACATACAAAAAATAAACACCGATATACAAGTTATTAAATTGAACGCCATTTTTCCCATTAACAATTTGAAATTTCAAAAAGAAAAACAAGAAAAGTTAATCTATAAGAAACAACCAAAAAGAAACACCAACACGTGCCTGGTTCAACTAAAGGCAAACTGTAACTATATATTTTTTGCTATACTATTCATTAAAAATATTAAACTCTAGAGAAAACTAATTATTAAAGTTTTAGTAAAAAAATGTCACATCCACCAGATGAAAAATTATTTTTCGAAAGCTGAAACAACAATTACGACCGAGCATGTGTCATCTTAAACATAAAATAAAGAAGTTTGAGCTTGCATTGACTGAATGATTGATTTATCGATGACATCTGGTTTTAAACTCTCCTACTTTCACATTTTGCATTGACGCTACCTTTATTTAAAAACCTATTTAAACTAATTATATTAAATTATACACACACATGCATACACACACACCACACACAAACACAAACACCTACATCCATTTTGATGAGTAACATGCATGCAGGTATAAATAAATACACATACAATACAACACACCTATATACATGTGTGTATTTATACATATATGCAGTATGTAGGTATGTAAGTATAGTTTAGTGACCATGGATTCACACTTAATAAAAAATGTAGATTACGTAAAATATTCTGTGTAAAATACACATTTCCAATTATAATCCGAAAATGCGTTGTGATTTTTAAAAATAATTATCTGGAAAACATGTGAAGCAAACATCTTGAGTGATCTGCATACATTTGCATCCACTTTATTCAAATTCAAATGTTTGTCAAGTTATTATGTTATATTGCTAAGTTACATAACCAAATTGTTATATACACTCTGTTACCAACAGTATTACATTATTAAAACATCGCGGTCCGTCGTTATCTGATTCAATGATGGTTTATTACTTGAATAACTATGGAAATTTAGTCAACTTTTTGAAAAAGAATTAAATTATAAATCATATTCTTGATGTCAACCAAAGAATCTTGAGATTTATAAATTAAATTAAGGACGTGTCTTATCTTGAATCATTTTATTTCTTCTTCTTTCTTCTTCTTTCTTCTTTTTTCTTCTTCAACTTCTTCTTTCTCGTGCCTTATCCTTTAAGGACATTGGCGACCATCGACCTGCACAAAACCCGATATTTAACACTTTGTAGTAGTTGAAATGTGGTGATATTCAACAAATAACCAATGTGGTGATGTTCAACAAGATGTAGAACATGGAATCTTAATCAATGTATTAGTAAAGAGGACCTTAAGCTGGTTTAAAAAAAACTGGATGAATAGATTTATATATATATATAATATATTTATAGGTTGTATATTATTAATCTTATTGAAGTTTAATGTATACATACTTTGTTTATTAATAATTTCATCAAATTTAACAAACTGTAGTTAAGTCGAAAAATAGTTATTATTTAAATTAACTTTACGTTCCGCTATTAATTTTTTCTTACCGCACACAGCTCTACCCTTTTCCGCTAAAGAAAATTGATTTTATATTTTTATAATTTCGCTTCGCGACGTAAAAATTTCTAGACTAAGGTGAATATTTCCATTTTCTCTTTAGTTATTATTTACATTTTGATCTCAATTCGTTTGTTGATCGCTGTGCAGTTTGTTGTTTGATGATCGGCGCAGATGTTTTGCTTGCTTTTCAATTTATGATCAGTCCCAAGCAAGGACCAAGAAAAATGCAATTACAATTACATTTCTTCATTTTATTAAAATTAATAACGTTGAAAAATTCTCTTGACTAACTTTTTTATTTTTAACGCGTGCATACCCAAACTAGATCAAACAAAATGAATTTACAACATTCAAATATTAGCAACGAAACAATAACGATGGATGCCAAGGCATATGCAGCAAGAAACAGACAGGGCAGTGATTGGTTTGGCCATAATCCGGAATCTGCCGGAACGATGGTTCCCCATCATCAACAACAGAACCACAATAATGTTGAACAAGAAAATGTTGGTGAAGCTCCCTTGACCAGCAGAACTCAAATGATCAAGCCTGTCTGTAACTCTAATCAATGGTTTAGACACGAAGGTGGTGGAGATAGTGTGGTTAGTTATATTTTACAATCCATTTTTCATCATTAAGCAACATTTTAATCTTTTTTTATTATTTGACTAGACTGATGCACCTAAAAGGGTTGAACCAGAACAAGAACAACCTCAAGCCTGCCAAAAGGCAACTACCTTGGTCCAAGAGCAAGTTGAGGTTGTGTCAGAAAAGATGGAAATGCCATCACAGTCGACTTGTGGCTCTTTATGCTTCGGATCATCAAAAGCAGAAGAACCCAAAGTTAGATCTCACACAAGAGAGGCCGAGGCCAACTTCACTCGCGACAAAACAGGTTCTGATTGGTTTTCGCACGACGAACAAGGAGGAGCCAGACCGACTTCGAGCATGAGTGGGTCGAGGATTGGTTCTCTGGAGGGAAGTCAGAATGCCTCAAGAATGAGGGGGGAGTCAGAGAACTGGTTCTCACATGATCCCAATGCTCCTCCACAACCTCTACATTCATCCAAGGTCAGTTGGCTGATTTGTTGGTTGCTGCGTCTATTGACTTTTGGTTTGGTTAAGACTCCTGAGTTGATTGCTTGATCATTGATGGGATGATTTTTGTATTTTCTATTTTATCAGTTTTAACTATGGTGTTATTTTTGTCTGTCTGTTTTAAATGGCAGTAGTTCAGATTATGGGTTGCTGGTAGGCAGTTGAATATTTCAAAAATAATGACAGGGCCGACAGACGGGCAAACAACAGAACCACGACATGTTTAACGTTTTCCACCACAACCCATAACTCTACAAAGCACATCCCTACTTGCAAGAGGTGAATGAACTCAAACTTGTAGCTAGTGCTCTGGTTGTTAGGAAAATTAGTGAACAACAACAACAAACATAAAAATGTTTAAAAAAATTTGCTTATGCCTCTTACTTTTCGATGTTTTTTATTTTCTCAAATTTCTTACAATCATTGTTGCCATATTTTTTTTTTTTTGAGAAAGAAAAAATGACAAGCACAGCCACACAAGCAAGCAGGAGTCTGACCGATCAGTGAAATGTTATTTATAAATGATATCAATTTTCGTTTTTTTTCAACTAAAGATGTTTTAATAAGTTTATTTCAAAGGATGATGATTTTGCAGCCACGTTTGTTTACCATTGTTATTATACCTTTATTATTTTTTTGTTTTTTTACCAGGTGTGATGGCTTGTGTTTCAACGCTGTGCGTGTGTGTATGTGTGTGTGTGTGAGAGAGAGAGAAAGAGTGCTTTTGTTAATGTTGTGTTTGTGTTGTGTTAGTAATTCTCTTCATTCAATAATCATTCAATCAATTATTTAACAATGCTTTATACCTTTTGTAAGTTTTGATAGTAGAAATGAATAACAATTAGAATGTTAGCATGCGCGCATGTACACACATGTGTATAAACATTGTGTGTGTGCGCGTGCCCGTGTGTGTGTGTGTGTGTGTGTGTGTGCAATAATATACCAATCATTTGTAGTTCATTTTTTTCACAGTTCCTATATAATGTTAATTGTTAACAATGAATGCTTCCCATTATAGTCCTTTGATCTAAAAACCAACAATGATGATGAAAGTTAAATTATTACGTTTTTAATGATAATGAATTGATGATGTTTGTGATAGATATGATTATATATCATGATGTATGTGTGTGTTAGTGTATACAGTTGGTTTTAACGCTATATATTTATATATCTATATAGTGTATGTGTGTGCTTGTGTGCGTGTTTAAATTTTTAGCGCAGTTGATTTTAATTTGTGATGGTGTATCAGTTATCCAAATTATTTCCTCATTCATTCTTTTATCCGTTCTTTCTATCTACCATTTTTCGGTATTTTGGAATTTTATTAGTTTAAATTTTAATTTTTTCTTATTGTGAACCATCCTCATTATCGTCCTTCGCTACTGAGGTTGCTGCTGTTAAATATTATTATCACTTCATTTGTGAAAACTTCTTAAAGACGTAAAACTTTATAATCTGCTAAATATTTGATAGATTTCCAACTATTAGTGTCAATCTATATATCTATACAGAACTTTCCCTTCCATTGAGTTAACTAATTAGTGAACAAAGATAAAATAAATTACAACGACGAATTATATTATTTATTAAACTATTTAATTAGAATTAATTAATTAGAGCTAACCGATAATAATTAACCGAATTAGTAGTAAAGGTGTTCCATGCTTTTAATGATATATATATATCTCTGAAGGTAAAAGCAAGCTGATGTTTTTTTAATGACGTTTTGCATTATGTCGTCTTATTCATCGTCATACATTTTGTTTTATTGATATAATGTATATATATATATATGTTTATATATTATATATATATGTATATATATATTGATATGCATGCGTTTTTTAGCTATATATTGTTTAATATTTAACGATATATGTATATATAGGCATCCATCGCACACGCATATAATACACATGTGTGTACATATATATATATGTATATATATATATATATATGTACACACATGTGTGTTTATTGTGTATTTGAGTTAACTGAAGCACAAGTTAAACTAAATTTGCTATTGGGGATGGGATGATACGATGATGATGAATACTATTACTGTTACCGTCATGGAAATGATGATGATAATGGGATGATAATGATAGAAAAGTAGTTAGTTAATATTTAATTAGCTTCATTAAACATTCCAAGTGGAGATAGTAAAATCCAATTTATTGAAAAAAATTTGCATGGAAAATTAGTAATGGTGATGATGTCTGTGATGGTGTTGATGATTCGATTTTCCTGATAACGATCCTGATGGTTATGATAATGATCGTAATTTCCTGGTGATGATGGTAGATGAACATAATCTTTCAGTTTTTCGCTTAAAAGAAATTTTTCTGGCTAATAAAATTTAAACCTTGGAAATTCTGCTTCATTTTTATACTTAATTGGATAAAATTTTTAATTTAATAATAATAATTATTATCATCATATGAAATTTTATTATAACTAATTATGAATTGGAATATATAAAAGTTAAAAGCGGAAAGACGGAGATTTACAACGAATGAAAATTTGTATTACCAAATAGAAAGTAATTAATGAGTAATTAATTAATTCTGATTTTAATCTACAATCTCATAAGCAATAAATAAATTATTAATAAATAAATTATTAGATGGATAAAAACCACATATGTGTGTATTCATAGCAGTCGAAATATGTGACAACATGAAATAGACATAGGAAGCAAGTTCCTAGTGGCCAACAATATAATTTTGAATCAAAATGGATAAGTTTGGAAATATAAGAACGTTTAATTTTCGCGTTAGCATTCATAAATTTTCTACAATGCAATACCTCAGCATTGACACTTTTTTTTATATAAGCCGGCTTATACATCAATAAAATAGCAGATAATTATTAGCACTTTAATAATTGTGTTAAACGGGCGAGTAATCGAGAATCGAAATGACGATACGAAATATTATAAAAGCAATTCAATAAATAATTTATCTTAAAATTATAACTTCGTCATAATTATTATGATAACATTCCGAGGGACGTTAATTATTAATTATATTTCTTGATAGTCTCCATATCCTCAAAACAATCGTCAGCGAATATTTTAGCCACGTAACTCGAAAAATCCTTTGATTGGTTGACTGGCGGACCAATAGAAGAAGTGGATTTCAACGAACCAGTTAGTGAGGCAGCAGATAACGGTGACCTGTTTATTTTCTTACCTGATTGGCCATTGACGGAAGAAGTAGGCGTGGTCGATTGATTCAGAAAAAGCCGAGTTGTCGTGACAGCGGCGCGAGCTTTCGAAAAAGAAGGTATATCATTGGAGGGTCTAGAGACTCGCTCATCTCCCTCAAAATTTTCTTCCTCAACGTTGAATATGATTGGTCGTTTAACTTTCCTGTTTCTCTCCGATTGGCTGCGATTATCGCTAATCATAGATGACGCTCGACTGTTAGTACCAATAGATTCGTTATCGAACATGATACTCTTCAGATGGAGTCTTCTCAAGCGACTTATCTTCCATTTCTTCCAGGTGAAGAGAGAGAAGATGGCGAGCGCGATTGTTAGGGCAACTAGCCAAGCTAGGCAGATGAAAAACACGATCTGATTGGTTGAATGTTGGCTGTAGAGGGGTCCATAGTTGTTGTTGAGGTTACTCGAGAGTTTGTAGACATCTTGCTCGTCGTTAAGATTCGTGTCTGAAGTTAGAGCGGCTGTGATTGGTGCGTTCGTTTCGTTACCTGGTTGGTATCACGAATGTCCATGTACTTACTATTCAAAAGAATATGTATTGTTGAGTGATTTTCAAAATCTCAAAATCATTTCCAAACGATTAAAAAAAAATCTTTCAAATTAGCCACATTTTTTTAACAAAAATCAACAAACAAACAGACAAACAAACAAACAGACAAACAAACAAACAGACAAACAAACAAACAAACAAACAAACAAACAAACAAACAAACAAACAAACAAACAAACAAACAAACAAACAAACAAACAAACAAACAAACAAACAAACAAACAAACAAACAAACTAACTAACTAACTAACTAACTAACTAACTAAACAAACACAAACCAGCTTGTGGCGTAACTGTGAGAGTGATATTGAAGCACCTGTAGCTGCCGTACGTGTTGAGACATATGTCGCACCCAACACACGTAGTCTCTGGCGAAGTCTTACATTCATCAACATCTGGTAGTGATATAAGCGTTATAAGGTGAAGGTTATAGTGAGATTATCATCCTCACTCATCATCTAAATCATCATCTAAATCATCTCAATCCTCATCAGCACTATCTATCCCAATCATCATTTTGTGATTGCCAGTTTCATCATCATCTTTATTACAACTTTATCAACATCAGTCTCGTTCATAAATCTAATCGCCATCATCATTCTCTTCATTATCCCAACAGCAGCAGCAACAACAAAAACAACAACAACAGCAACAACAACGACAACATCAAAAACCATCAACAACAGCAGCAGCAACAACAACAACAAAAACATCATCTATCACCATTACCTTCACATCCGAAAGTTTTGACGAGGGAGAAACCTTCATGGAAACATTTGCAATGCGCTGGCTCTGTGGATGTTTCTGGGACACAGATGTGCTGGCAGCCCCCGTTGTCGATGGAGCAATTTATGTTGAAGCCGATGCTCGGTTGAGATGGCGCTACATTGATCACGTGATGATTATAAAATGATCACGTGAGGATAAAATGATCACGTGATGATGATAGAACGATGTGTTGATGATAAAGGGATTTGACGACGAGGAAATGATGAAGTAACAATGACAAAATGACCATTGAGATGATGACGACTGTGTAGAAATAATAAGTCACAATGACGTCATCGCCACGTCATCATCGTAATAATAATAACATCATGAAACCAGTAGGACTTACCGATAGTTGGATAGCAATTTCTGCCATTTGGAGAGAGGGTATAGTTGGTCTGGCAGAGACATTGGGTGACCAGGTTGCCGAGGTAAATGCACGTGTGCTCGCAACCCCCGTTATCGTAATTACACGGGTTAAGATCTAGATTGTGGTGATGAGGACGATGATGAGGAGGATGGAGGTGAAGATGTGGATGACGATCTAAGCGATTGTAAAGAAGTAATGAAAAAAATGATGAAGAAGAGGATTATGATAATGGTGATGAAGAAGATGATGAAAATGATGATGAAGAAGATGATGAAAAGGATGATGAAGAAGATGGTGGAGTTCATAATGATGGTAGACTAACTATTGCACTTGATGCCCTCATTTACTCTCACCCACGTATTGGCCATTCTACACAAACAATAAGCTTTTGGTCCTGCCACACAATTGATTGGTTAGAATTTGTCAAAAGGGTGAGAACGAACGGATCAACAAGCAGTTACGAATGAAGGAGTGAATGAATAAATAAATAAATAAAATGATAAATAAATTAATTAACAAATAAATAAATTAATTAATAAATTAATTAATAAAAGAATACCATTTTGAGTTTGTTCAATTTCGCATTCTTGGTCGCAATTCATATCAGAGCACAAATTAATGGCAGCTACATATGATTTAGTTGAAGAAAAAATATGTAACATTATTATTATTACGGAAATTTATATACAGCGCTTTTTTATTGTTGAATCCTAAAAGCGCTACTAAATCATAGACAAATAAGACGGACATTCATTGTGCAAATAAATAAGTTTTAAGTTGACTTCGAAATTGAAACATTAATGCAATCAAACAAAAGAAAAATATTTCTTCTTAAAAAAAAAACAGATTCTCAAATAAGTTTTTAAATAAATTTCAACTTTCATCGTTAGCATCATCATCAACTTCACTAACGTTGAGCTATTCCGGGAGGTCCAGGTGCTCCCTGACTACCGATGGCTCCCTTAGGTCCCATAAAGCCGGTGGTCCCAGTGGATCCCGAGTTGCCAGGAGCACCAGGTAGTCCGACCAGGCCAGTCGCTCCGATGGGACCAGTGCTACCCTGCTTACCAGTTTCACCAAACTGTCCAACAAATCCAGCTGGACCCTGCGTGCCGAGAACACCTGTTAGACCTCTGGGTCCTGGCGGGCCCGGTAATCCTTCAACACCCGTCTTTCCTGCCGGACCTGTTGCACCTTGCGTGCCTTTTGGTCCCCTCAATCCGGTATCTCCCGGAAACCCTCGCAAACCGGTGGCTCCATCAACTCCTGTGACACCTTTAGAACCAGTTGGACCTGTAGCACCTGTATTTCCCATCGGACCCACCACTCCTGGTGATCCAGAATAACCTGGCATTCCTATCGGACCAGTATCTCCTGTTAAACCGATTGGTCCAATCGGTCCCATTTGTCCTGTGGGACCTTTTGGTCCTGGAAAACCTGAGGGTCCAGTTGGTCCGGGGAATCCTGTATTTCCTGGTGAACCTGGAAATCCAGTAGCTCCCGTAGGACCTCTGTTACCACTGGGACCTGGTGATCCTGCTAATCCAGGAAGACCATTAAAACCTGGTACACCTTGTTGACCTGGATTACCTGGATCTCCAGTGGGTCCCTGAAAACCAGTTGCTCCTGTGTATCCAGTTGGTCCTGTCGCTCCTGGGTGGAGCGTGATAAATAACAAAAGTTAAAAACTGTTGCAATAGTTGCTCTGAATATCACAAGCAAAATGACGTTCAAGATGACAATTCTGTCTAGTCTAGTAACGAGTTGAAGCGCCGTTAAATAAGCGAGCAAACAAACAAACAAGAAATAATTTGAACAATGCCAACAACGAAGGCAAAAACAAATAAAAAAAACAATGAACAAAGGATGAACTAAAAGAAACGAAAAAAACTGAATGTAACAACTCACCAGGATCCCCATTGGGACCAACAAATCCAGTATTTCCTAGAAGACCATCATAACCAGGATTTCCTGAGACCCCAGTCGCTCCAAATGTACCGACAAATCCAGGAATACCAGGCTGACCATTTGAACCGGGTTGACCTGATGGTCCTTGCTGACCTTTCGGTCCAGGTAATCCGGGATCACCAGCTGAACCTTGTAATCCTGTGCAGTGCGAGTGATGATTGTGCACGCTCATTTAGGAAGCAATCGATAATAATTAAGAAGTTAATTGATGGGTGGCGTGTGGATTTAGAACATGTGTATAGCGTTTTATTGTTGTTCTAAGCAAGATATAACGGTGCAATAATAAACAAAATAATTTCTCACCGTCGGGACCAGATGGACCAGTTGAGCCAGTATATCCTTTCATTCCCGGTCCACCTGGAGACCCAGGAACACCTGGTGTTCCATCCATTCCTTGGGGTCCAGGTTGGCCTGGTGATCCAGGAAATCCTTTCAATCCAGAAGAACCAGTATTTCCAACTGTTCCAGCAAAACCAGGTAGACCATCAGCGCCTGCAGAACCGAGTGGACCTTTTGGCCCGGTAGATCCGGTAAATCCAGTGAAGCCAGTGTCTCCAGCCGAGCCCGGAAAACCGGGAGAACCACTAGGTCCACCTGATCCAGTTGCGCCAGTTGCACCTTGATCCCCAGGCCTACCAGTATTTCCAGGAGATCCAGTCATGCCAAAATCTCCTTGAAGTCCTGTCATTCCAGTTGGACCAGTAGATCCAGTCTGACCCGTGAAACCAGTGAACCCAGGTTGACCTGGATTACCTGGTTGACCCTGTGGACCTCTTGAACCACTGCTGCCAGTGTTTCCGGTAAAGCCCTGAATTCCAGTATAACCAGGAACTCCAGTTCGACCAAGTTGACCAGTAGCTCCAGGATTGCCTGGAGACCCAGAAAGTCCAGCCTGGCCCGTAACTCCTGGAAAACCTGTCGAACCCTGTGGACCCAAGTTACCTGGAAGGCCTGGCTGACCTGGATTTCCAGGAGAACCTGGTCTTCCCATTGGTCCAGAAAATCCTGTTACACCCTGTGGACCTGAAAATCCTGCAGGTCCTGTTGGACCTTTCGATCCAGATGGACCCGGTTGACCTGTTGGTCCAGTTGACCCTGTGACTCCGGCTAATCCTTGTGCACCAGTGTCTCCAACCATTCCTCTGGCACCTTCACCCCCTGGTGCTCCTTCTGGACCTGTGAATCCCATCTGACCAGGGATGCCTTGAATACCGGTAGCACCTGTACCTCCAAAACTTCCAGGCAAACCTCTACTACCTGGGGATCCAATCTGACCAGAAGATCCAGTGAAACCTTGCACACCTGTTGCACCTGTTCTTCCTGAGCTGCCAATGGCTCCTGAAGGTCCAAAAGGCCCAGGCGCTCCTTGATTACCTGTAGCACCAACACTCCCTGGCCTTCCTGTATCACCTGGTGCACCTGGATTGCCTGATTGTCCAGTTGCTCCTGTGGACCCAGTCACACCAACTGAACCTGGTTGTCCATCGTCACCAGTTGCTCCAGGCTGACCTTTAGGTCCCGATGAACCGGTAAAACCTTTTATACCTGTACTGCCAAAACCACCAGAATTACCCGGATTACCTTGTAAACCTGGAAATCCAGTTGATCCAGTGCTTCCCGGAGGACCTGGTTGACCTAAAGCACCAGGATTTCCAGGGAGTCCAGAAACACCTGAAAACCCAACATCACCTGTTGCACCTTGTTGACCTTGGGAACCAAAATTTCCACTAATACCAGGCCTACCTTTGATCCCTGTAGCTCCACTTGACCCAGTGTCCCCGATTCTTCCTGAGCTACCAGTTCCTCCTGTCCCTCCCGTTGATCCGGTAGCGCCAGTTGCGCCTTGAACACCAGCACTTCCAGGAGATCCAGGTGAACCAAGTGAACCTGGCAATCCCATTTGACCAGTTTGTCCTGATGCTCCCGTGGCACCTGTAGCACCCTGGTCTCCGTTTGCACCTGTGTTGGTTGGATGGGTGTTGTAGTCGGTTGATTGATTGAATGATTGGTTGGTTAGTTGAATCTAAAAACTCTTTTGATTAAATAATTAATTCAGTGTAACATAGCAATGAAAATAATGATTTCAATGACTTCTTTATCGTAATAAACTGTATGAAAAAATCAAATGAATAAAATAAGATGAGAATAGATGAAAAAAAGACAGACGCAGTGGGACATCTTTAGATGAATCGGTATCATTTGAAAATTTCTATTCTAAACTAACTTACGCGTGCCAATCTATTCAAACATTCATTCATTCATTTAAACAAAGAACAGAGTCAAAATAAAAGAAATACAATCAAACCTATCAAAACGAAATAACATCATCGGAATAAGAAAATTCAAAACACATAGAAGAAAAAAAACAACCACCATAAACGACACTAACATTCATTCTAATACATAACTTATTCGTGCGTACTTGTCAGGAACATCGTCGTTAGATATAAAACATTAAGTGATTGGACATTACCAAAGAAACCTAACCATACATGCCTAGACAATGTTATAAGGAATAACACAAACTTACTTATTTTCATATCTGGATACATTTCGATCGCATTAAAGTTTGAGCACGAAATAAGAATAAAGCACTTAACATTACAATAAATTACGTTACATTAAATCACACTACATACCTCTTGGACCAGTTGATCCGCTTCTTCCGGGAGGTCCCTGTGGACCGCTGATTCCAGTGGAACCTGTTTGACCCTGGAGACCTGTGTCACCCTGGTCACCAGTTGCACCAACAAGTCCTGGTTGGCCGGTTGCTCCATTTTGTCCTTTTACACCGACTGGTCCAGATGAACCTGTGGCACCTTTGCTGCCACTTGGACCTGTAAATCCTTGAGGACCTGGAAACCCCTGGCTGCCTGTATCGCCCGTTCCACCGGGGTTACCAGTTGTGCCAGTAGCTCCAAGTGATCCAGGTTGACCTTTAAAACCGGTTGAACCAGGAACACCTTGTGGACCTGGTTGTCCTTGCGGACCAGTACTTCCCAGGTTCCCGGAAGGACCTGGAGAACCCGTGGCTCCAGTTGCTCCTGTAGAACCTTGTACACCAGGAGATCCTGGCCCACCTGCTTGTCCTGTGTTACCAACTGAACCTGCTGGACCTTGTAATCCAGTCGAACCACGAGATCCTTGTGGTCCAAATGAACCTGCTGAACCTTGTGGTCCTTGAGGTCCAGGAAATCCTGGGGCACCATTTTGTCCTTGAACTCCTTTATCGCCCTCATCTCCTGTAAATCCTTGCACACCTGTAGAACCTTGAAAACCTGTTGAACCTTGAAGTCCACCTGTCCCATCGGCTCCAGTAGAACCAGGTTGACCTGGAAAACCTGGTGGACCCACCTGACCAGGTTGACCAAGCGAACCAGTTGCACCTCTAATGCCAGAAACACCCGTACCTCCTGTATAACCCTTTTGTCCAGACTGCCCTTGAGGCCCAATAATTCCAGGTAATCCAGGCGATCCAGATGAACCAGGTGAACCAGTTGATCCAGCAATTCCAGTGCTACCAGTTTGTCCAGTGTCTCCTGGTAAACCACTTGGTCCGTCCGGTCCTTTTGCACCAGTTTGTCCAGTTGGTCCCTGAACTCCAGTTGGTCCAGATTGACCAGCACTTCCAGTAGCACCTTGATCACCTACGGGACCCTGAAAACCAGGTAAACCCTGGAAGCCCGACTGCCCTTGAGGACCTGCTGGTCCTGTCATACCAGTAAATCCTGTTGGACCTGTAACTCCTGTGGCACCTGGAGAACCTTGACGTCCAACAAAACCCGATCCTCCAGGTACTCCTGCTGCACCTGTGTCACCAGGTGGTCCCTGCTGGCCTGTTGATCCCTGAAGTCCTGGAAACCCTTGAGGTCCATTCGATCCAGGAAATCCTATAATGAAAAATGAATAATTTTATGTTATTTGGTGAAGTGATTCGTTACATGTTTTTTCTAACAATACGTTTTAAAAAATAAAAACAAGTTGTATAAATAAACTCCAATAAAATTAAAACATTCAAACAATTTTTCCGATCATAAGATCAAACCGTCTTCCTTTTTTCATGCAATAATTTCAAATTAAATTAAACATCACGCAATGTTTTTAGTTTAACGTACCAACAAATCAAAACAAAAGTTTAATAAAAATTGTAAAATATTTTAATGTAATCATAAAAGTCTATTATTTTGCTTGCTTCTACATTTATTTACGTGTATTCGTTACAAAAAAAGTTTTGTTTGAAATTTGTAGTAGATGAGTCACTAACAAAGTGCTTGGACGTAAACAACCTACGCTAATTAAAGAATATTACTTTTCATTTCCTTCAATCTTTCAACTCATTTAGTTTGAAGTTTTTTCATGCAATTTTGTCTTCTACTCCATTCATTGTTATACAATTTCTCAACTTTACTCTTAAAAAACTAAAGCTAATTTCATTTCATTTATCTTATTCTTGTTTTGATAGCATCACATTATTTTACTTACTACATTTTGATTAAATTGATGAAATAAATTGATGCAAACTATAAAATGTTCACATGTATAAAATTTTTATCGTTATTATTCTCTTAATTAGCTATTCATGGTAATACCAGCGCATTGCATTCTTGCATTCAAACAACGCGATTCAAATTATGCCACTTTACAATTTAGTTATAATGTAACAAATAACATTAAATAAAAAATATTAATTTACCTTGCTGTCCTGGCGGCCCAGTAGAACCAGACAACCCCGTTGCACCTTTGCTTCCCGACGCACCAGTCCAACCTGATGATCCAGTAACTCCAAGCATACCAGTATCTCCCGTACCTCCTCTGGGACCTGTAAAACCTGCTGTTCCCTTTGATCCCGTAGAACCAGTTTGTCCAGTAAAACCAGGTAATCCTTGCTGACCCTGTGGACCTTGAAAACCTTGTGAACCTGGTTGACCAGTTGCCCCAATCATTCCAGTGTTTCCAGTTGATCCCATATCTCCAGTATTACCAGTAGACCCTGTAAATCCGGATAAACCAGGTAAGCCATTATCACCAGGGGGTCCAATTAGTCCCGATGATCCAGTTGCTCCAACACCTCCCTGTAAACCTGTTGAACCTTTTAACCCAGGCTGACCTGTTTGACCCGTAGCTCCTGTTTGACCAACAAAACCCGATCCACCAGACGGGCCTGTATCTCCCGGAGGACCACTTGGCCCGGTTGAACCTTTAACTCCCTTCTGACCTGGAGAGCCTGTGAAACCTTGTAGACCATCGAATCCAGAAGGTCCAGTGTTGCCAATTGGACCAGTAGGTCCAGTCCTGCCAGTTCCTCCTTGCACACCAGTTGCGCCCGTAAAACCTGGTAAACCGGTGGATCCTTGTTGACCTTGTGTTCCAGATATTCCCGAAAGACCTGTATTACCTGGTTGCCCCTGTGGTCCAGGAAAACCTGGATTACCAGAAGACCCAGTATCACCAGTAGAACCCGTAATTCCCGTGCTACCGGTCAGACCTGGTTGACCAACTGATCCAGAGGAGCCTGATGAACCAGTATCTCCCTGAGGCCCCTGTTGACCTACCGCTCCCGTCTGTCCAGTGTTTCCAGTTTCTCCCGTATTGCCTGAATTACCTTGAGGTCCTTGACGTCCTGGTTGACCTTGTGAGCCCGGCTGACCAGGAGAACCAGGTAAACCATCTTGCCCTGGAAAACCTGGCTGACCTACCAAACCAGTATTACCTGTTGATCCTGGAGGCCCTGAAGGTCCTTGTTGACCAGGTTGACCTGAAGATCCATTCTGCCCTCTGTCCCCGGTGTCACCAATTGGACCGGTTGCACCCGTTGGTCCAATAACACCTGGAGATCCAAATGGGCCAATAGAGCCTGTTTGACCAAGAGGACCCGGAGGACCTCTGGGTCCCGATGCTCCAGTATCACCTGTATCACCCATCATTCCAACAATTCCTCCCCCTCCACCTTGTCCTCCCTGACCAGGCGGTCCTCGTTGACCTTGCGCACCTTGAATTCCCATTATTCCAGTTCCTCCTTTGACACCCTGTCCCCCTGTGTCACCTGTGGGTCCTCTTACACCGGTTGCTCCCAGAAGTCCAGTTTGACCTGGCTGACCAGTTTGACCGGTTGAACCAGTAAATCCTTGAGGTCCGGTATTTCCCGCATCACCAACGATTCCTTTTGGTCCTTGATTTCCTTTAGGTCCTTGAGTACCTTGCTGACCTGTAAAGCCTTGACTACCAGGCTGTCCTGGTTGGCCTTGTGGTCCTACTTGACCAACAACTCCAGGTGATCCGCTAAATCCAGTAGCTCCTGGAAGGCCAATAATTCCTGACTGACCTGTTGAACCAACAGGACCGGTCGCTCCTCTTGGTCCCTGTGTTCCCTGTGTACCTTGTTGTCCAGATAAACCTGTAAATCCAGTTTGTCCTTGAACACCTTGGGGTCCTTGAACACCTTTACTACCAGTTTGGCCTACAGATCCAGGTAAACCTGGAAACCCAATATTACCGTTTGGACCAGATATACCACGTGGGCCTGTAGATCCCTGTACACCAGTTATTCCAGTGTATCCAGTGCCACCCCTATCGCCTGTTAGTCCAGTCATTCCAAATGGTCCTGTAGAGCCGGTTGGACCCTGAAGACCAGGAATTCCAGGAGACCCAGTTGATCCAACTACGCCTGGATTGCCAGGATTACCTGTTGCACCTGTAGAACCAGGAACACCCATTGTACCAGTCTGTCCAGTAAATCCAGTGGAGCCTGAATTTCCAACAGCACCTGGTTGACCTGGCTGACCTGTTTGGCCTGGCTGACCCATTATTCCCTGAGGTCCTAGTTGTCCCGTGAATCCTTGAGGACCTGTTGCTCCCGGCAAACCTTTAAAAATTAATGATATATAAAAATAATGTAAAAATATCATTAATATAATGTGGTGCAAAAATGTATGTAATAAAAATCAAACATTTAGAAAATACCTGGGTTTCCCATCGGACCGCTAAAACCAGTTCCTCCTGTTGAACCTGTTTGACCAACACCCCCTGGACTTCCGGATCCGCCAGTGGCACCAGAAGCTCCTGTAGCTCCAACTGCACCCCTATCACCTGTGACCCCTGTAGCACCAGGAAATCCAAATTGCCCAGGTTGGCCAGTTAATCCAGGGTTACCAGGCTGGCCTCGTGAGCCAGGTTGACCAGTATTTCCAGGAGTCCCGGTATCTCCTTGCGGTCCAGGTTGACCCATTTGTCCAGGACCAGCATTTGGACCTGGAAACCCAGGTAAACCTTGTGGTCCAGTAGCCCCCTGAGGTCCAACGCCACCAGAAGCTCCCACAGTTCCTGGAGTACCTTTTTGACCAGATGGTCCAGTAAAACCAAGTGGTCCCGGTAAACCAAATGCTCCAGTGGCACCTGTCGCCCCTGTAAATCCTTGGGCTCCTAAAGATCCAGGTGATCCACTCTGACCGGTCCAACCTGGTAAACCTTGATCTCCTTGAGGTCCTTTCATTCCAGTAGAACCAGGTTGACCCGGAATCCCAGTTAAACCCGGATTACCTGGATTACCGGTAAACCCAGCCGGACCCGTTGAGCCGGTTCCACCGGTAGAGCCTGAAGCTCCTTGAAATCCTTGGGAACCTTGTGGCCCAGTTGACCCAGTTGCTCCGGAACTGCCAGTGTTGCCTGTTGTACCTGTATCACCTCTTTCACCTGTGCTTCCCGTCTGACCAATCATACCAGGAGTACCTGGTTGACCGATTGGACCTGTTTGGCCTGATGGGTGGCAATTGTTTTATATTATGGTCACTTTTATTATTTAAACATTTAAAAAAACTCAACTTTAGCAATTGAAGCAATATATCAATATTTTCAAAATATTAAATATAACATCGATGTTAACATCAATATGTTTATAAACGATATATCGATATATTATGGACAACAAAATTTCGGTCCGTCAAGCAAAAATATCATGAAACAATTAAACCAACGTATATAAGAACCACTGCACACTTTATGACACATACAAAGCAATTGAGTAATTAAAACAAATTACTGCTTTAGCATTTCAGTTAACTATCTAAATTTTAAAAATAGACGTAATAGTAATAGACAATATATTCTTAAATTTTTATGAAAATAACAAGAGGTATAACAAGTTTCTATCACATGAATATTTCACTAACATTTTTGCAACAATGCAAGCGTAATAAGATTGTTTTAATTATCAAGTTGCATTAATAGCTCACCAGCAGGTCCAGTAGATCCAGTACTTCCGGCACTACCAACAACTCCGATTTGCCCAGTAATTCCAGTAGCTCCTGTCGATCCCGGACTTCCATTGGCTCCTTGCTGACCTTGGGGACCTGGAGGACCAGCCGGTCCTGATTGACCACTTGCACCGATCAATCCAGGTGCTCCTGTGTTACCTTGGCTACCTGGAAAACCTGTTACTCCTACCTGACCTGTCGCCCCAGTGGCTCCTGAAAATCCAGGGGCACCAGTCCAGCCAATTACCCCGCCTGTACCTTGCTGGCCGACAGAGCCTGAAGCTCCTGTATTACCAAGAGAGCCAGGTAGACCCTTGGAACCAGGAAAACCTGGCAATCCTGAGGCTCCAACAGGACCAGGAGAGCCCGTTAAGCCTTGACTTCCGGTATTACCCTGAAAACCTGGAGATCCTTGAGGACCGGGAAGTCCTGTTGACCCTGTTTGTCCAATCACACCAGTTGCTCCAGTTGATCCTGAAGAGCCAGTGCCACCAGTTATACCTGTAGCACCTTGCGGGCCAGCTGAACCACCTGAACCTGTTGATCCTGGTTGACCCTGTGATCCTTGTGGACCCTGTTGACCTGTTGGACCGGTTTGACCTACTGCACCTGGAAGGCCCTGACTACCTTGAAAACCAGAGTTTCCAATTGGACCCTGCACTCCTTTTAATCCAGTAGCACCAGTACTGCCTGAATTACCTGTCCACCCAGGTTGCCCTGGCTGCCCCATTGGACCCGGATCTCCCGCAGGACCAGTAAACCCTTGAGTTCCAGATGGTCCTTGTGGCCCAAACATTCCTGAGGCACCCGTCCAACCCTGAACACCTGAATAATTTCAAGGTTCATTACAATGTTTTACATAAAATCACTAAATCGTGCGTGTTTCCATTTAAATGAAGCATGTGTTAGCTACATCATTTAACTTTATCACACTTATGTTATCAATATTATACATTTTCCTACATGTTAAACATTGAAAAAAACACAATCACAAAATTGCAGCATTTTAACAATGAAAGCATTAAAACCACGTCATTCAATATTAAATCAAACACAAACAAAACAACCATCAAAATTTTTACCTTGATTGCCTGTAGATCCTGTTGCACCTGGTTGGCCAACCCCTCCAGAGACTCCGTTAAGTCCTACTGGTCCAGTGGCCCCCTGAACTCCGGGCTGTCCATTTAAACCACGAGGTCCACTCTCACCTCTGGCACCTGTATCTCCAGTAAACCCAAGTTGACCAGTTGATCCTGATGAACCAGTCGATCCTGAAAATTTAATTAATTTTTTCATTTATTCTTTCATTTAATTAAACATTTATTTAAAAAAATTATCGTTTGTGTTTATATCGATGAACAAGAGTGAGTTTGCTGAAAATAATAAATCCAATTTTGTTCATAACGTGTTCCATACGGAATTTTTATTAAAAGAAAACTAAATTAATTCAAAACACTTAACGACATTAACAATAATAGACAACAGTAGAGACCTGTTCCTCCAGTGATGCCAGTAAATCCAGTAAACCCAACATCTCCCTGTGGTCCAGGATCGCCCGGTCTGCCACTTGACCCTTGAACTCCAGATGGTCCTTGAAATCCAGTAGCACCAGTACCTCCTGTCGCGCCTGAAAGTCCAGTGGCACCTGTTGCACCTGAAGCTCCAGTCCATCCTGTTACACCGATAAAACCAGATGATCCTATGGAACCAGGGTTACCTGGATTACCAGTGTTACCTGCACTTCCTGTTGATCCCTGTTGGCCTTGTTGACCTTTTGGACCTTGCATACCTGTACCTCCCGTTACTCCTGGTACACCTGGTTGTCCGTCAGCCCCTGGGTTTAAAGTAGGAAATAAATCAATCTTCTAATTTATGAAAATTGTACAACATACATAGTAAAAAAAATTGTTTAATGTTTTTAAAATAATGCCATAGTTTAATTTTCAAGTGAAAGTTTAACGCAGAAAGTTTTTTAACCTGTTGATCCTTTGGGTCCAGTAGCTCCCGGAAAACCTTTGGGCCCTGGTTGTCCAGTTCCTCCAGTATCTCCCTGCATACCAGACACACCTGTTGACCCGGTATTACCTGAGGCACCTGTGCCACCAGTCCATCCAGGTAATCCAGTTGCCCCGGTGGGACCAGGCAAGCCACTAGCTCCCGTCCATCCCAATGTCCCTGATTGTCCCGAGGCACCTTGAGTTCCTTGCACACCTGGATAACCTGCAGGTCCTTGTGGGCCCTGGCTACCTGGATTGCCTAGATTTCCAGTTGCACCATCTGAACCCCTTGGTCCTTGAGGTCCTTGAAAACCACTGCTTCCAGAAGACCCGGTAGATCCAGTAGATCCAGTAAATCCTGGTCTGCCTGGATCTCCTGGTGGGCCTGGCAGTCCAACTGACCCTTGTGATCCAAACGCACCTGAAAAACCAGTGTCACCTTGAACGCCAGTTGCACCTGGATTGCCTGATTAAGTAAAGAAATTAATTTCAAACAATGTACTTCTCACATTAACAATATTAATTTTGACAGAAAATATATTAGAGATTGAATAACGCACGTGTACACAAGTAAAAATTTAATTTTGTATGAAAATTAATTAAATTAATCAAAAACAAAATAAAAACGAACCAGGGAATCCGGTTTGACCCTTGCTACCTGTAGCACCAGTTGAACCCAAAGGACCAGACGGTCCAAAAGCACCAGTGGATCCAGTAGATCCCGTTGCACCTGCAGTGCCTGTGTTACCTGGAAGACCCGTCGGACCTGGATCACCTGGTCTGCCCGGTTGTCCTAATTGTTAAGTAGTATCATGATGAAAAAAATTACTAAGAGAAACGAAAATTACATTAATCTGTTATAGTATTAAATTAATAATATTATACAAATATTAAATAATATTTTTAAATAAAAAACCAAATTAAAATAATCAATTAATTAGATGCATCAACTATTCATCTAACCATCGGCGCCAACAGTTCCAGTCGGTCCAGGAAAACCACTCGCACCTGTAGCACCTGGACTACCTTGAACACCAGAACCACCTGTACTACCCTGAGATCCTATCTGACCTGTTTGACCTGTTGACCCTGTGATCCCAGTCAATCCGGTGTATCCCGTATAACCAGTAGGTCCAGTAAATCCAGATGATCCTGTTGCTCCTGTAGAACCTGAGTTTCCAGTAGCACCCGTAAGGCCTGTAGCGCCTGTTACTCCAGTGATTCCGGTTGCCCCAGTCAGACCTGTAAACCCCATAGGTCCTGTGTAACCCTGAGTTCCTAATGAACCTGGTTGACCCGGTTGACCCACGGGTCCTTGTGCTCCCGTTCCTCCGAAGAAACCTGTCGATCCCGTAGCTCCCATGGTACCTGTAACGATTGGAAATGAATGCTTACGATAGCATTTATATATTTATATTTTATTTCGCCAAATCATATCAAACAATATTTTAAAAGAAATTATTGCATGAAATGAAATGACATGGAAGCCAAAAAAGTAACCACTTGTGATGTGACCGGCCACCGTGATAACAATTGATACGTTTTTAATAAGTTCATAAACTTATAACCTTCTATAGCTTGGGTTCATCGTTAAAAACAAAAATAAAGAAACAAAAGAAATGCAAGGAACAAAACATCAAATATTGTTCGTATTTGTTAACGTTGTAACATCCAAAAACAAAAATATTATCTTATCAACTCGCATAATTTGTGCAAGTAGTGTTCTTTGGGTCATCGTGATGACAGGCTACAGAAAAATAAAATTTTTTCATATCCAAAAGACTACAATAAATAATTTGATATAAAAAATAAATAAAAGTGATACATTCGCCGTATACGCTAAGTGAAAAACAGTGAATTCTATATATATAAAGTGCGTGCGATGTGCTGGATTGACGTTAATTTAAATAAATAAACAAATCATCAATAAAAAATTGAGCGCCACAAACGAACCAATTGATCCAGGCTGTCCAGGCTGACCAGAGAAACCAGGAAATCCAGATGGACCTTGAAATCCTGACTGACCACTTGATCCTGTGTTGCCCGGAATTCCAACTGAACCGGTCTGACCTGTGGCTCCTGGTGAACCCTGTGGACCTTGAAGACCTTGTGGACCTGCTGGACCAAATAATCCTGTTGCTCCTGTGAAACCCGGCAAACCCGTTGCCCCTGAAAATTTTACATAAAAACGTTGCATTAAGGTATTTCAGATGTCACAATTCTACATGTTCAATCTTAGCGCTGCTGGCAATCGTAAAAAAAATGAACACGAATAAATAACGCACTAACAATTAACATAATTTAATATTAAGTGCAATATTTCTGAAAGACAAAGAAAATAAACCAAAAGCAAAACAAGCAACCACCTGTAGATCCTGTGCTTCCAGGCAGACCACTACTTCCTGTGGCACCAAACGCCCCAACACCACCTCCCGCTCCTGGAAATCCTGTCGCCCCTACGGAACCGGCAGGTCCAGTGGCACCAGGAAATCCAACCGGTCCTTGTCGTCCAGTCTGACCTGGTTGACCTTGAAATCCTTGCGGTCCTGTTTGACCTGTTGCTCCAGGCTGACCAGGCAGTCCCGAAGATCCAAAATTTCCTATTGTTCCTGTAGCACCTGTGGCGCCTTGCACTCCTGTACTACCTGGCGAGCCTTGCTGTCCTGTACCGCCAGTAAAACCCGAAGTTCCAAATTGGCCAGTGGAGCCAATTTGACCAGAGGACCCCGAAGCACCAGTTGAACCTGTAAAACCTCGTGATCCCGTTGAACCAGTTTGACCAGGTTGACCAAGATCTCCAGGGAAGCCAGTGCTTCCCGTGCCGCCTGTCTGACCTTTGCTACCTGATGGACCTTGAGATCCAAGTGGGCCAGTAGCTCCTTGAAGACCTGGAGATCCTTGAGAACCAGGCGATCCTAGAACATAAGTGATTCATAAAATTAATTTTTTTGAATTAAAAACGTGAAAACTCAAATTGAATTCACGCGCTTATAAGCAATAAATAAATAATTATTTAGGAATTTATTAATTAGAATCCAAATGAAAAATTACAACAAACCAAAAGGCCCAGGAACTCCACTGGCTCCTGTTCCTCCGGAACTTCCAGTAGCTCCAGTTGATCCCATGCCTCCATTAGGCCCCGGAAATCCAGGAGATCCCTGAGGACCCTGCTGACCAGTTGGACCCGTCCAACCAGTCGGACCTTGTGAACCACTGGAACCAGAACTTCCTGGCGACCCGGTAGCACCTGTAGCGCCTGTACCACCTTGCAAACCTGGCTGACCTTGACTACCTTGATTACCCGGGCTACCCTGAGGCCCACTGGATCCAGTATCCCCTTGAAGTCCTTGGAATCCCACGAAGCCAGTAGAACCAGGAAAGCCTGGTTGACCCAGTGCACCTGGTTGACCTTGCTGTCCAGTTGACCCGGATGGACCTGTAGGGTGAAATGAAATATGCGAAACATGATGATGAAATACAGCTGAGGCTCAAGGCATTATTTCTTAGATGATAATTGTGATTATCAACTGCGGTTGAAACAATAATAACTGCAATACACTCCAGCGCTTCTCAGCCTTTTGAGATTCAGGGACCACTTAAAAATGTGCACTACTGAAAATTTTGCTACCAGGGCACTTGAAATTTATATATATATATATATATATAATTATTATTTCATATATATATAATTGTTATTTCATATATATATAATTATTATTTCATATATACATAATTATTATTTCATATATATATAATTATTATTTCATATATACATAATTATTATTTCATATATATATAATTATTATTTCATATATACATAATTATTATTTCATATATATATAATTATTATTTCATATATATAATTATTATTTCATATGATGACGTAACAGCTACACATAGTTAGTATAACATAGTTCTTAGTATAACTATTAGACTTAGAGAACTACAGTTACAACACTAGACTATAGGTGTATTAAAATTGTTATTTAAAATTATTTATCATATATTTTAATAAATGTTTTAACTTCAAATTAAAAAGTATTATGTTCGTTTTACATTGATGTTTGCATACAGCGTATCTCACGGCGTATCTGGTGTATCATCAATTTTTATGTCAAAAATGAAACAAATTGTAATTGCATCTTTTACAATGAACAAATGTCACTTGCTAACAATAATGAATAATAATACGCGGGTGGTTTTTTAACGTGCCAACTACATTAGAAATAATGCTACATTTAATTTCAGTGTGGGTCTAGAGCTTGCACAGTTGAGCTGAGCTTATCCAAACGAGGAGTAATACTCGAAAGACTCAATCGGAGTTCATCTTTTTCATTTTTTTTATTTTAATAAAACTTGCACTCGACACTTTGCTCGCGGACCACAGGTTGAGAACCGCTGATATACTTTATAAAAAAAAATTAACAATGTTATCGTGCTGAAATATGTTATAAATGTAACTATAATGCGAACGCAGCAAACGAAATTGACATTATAACTGCAGATAACAAACAGCATCACATTAAATTTTCATCACGTATTCTATTTGTTTAGGTGTTTATTGCATTTTTTGGCAAACCCACACACACACACGCACGCACGTACCACACACACACGCGCGCATGAACGCACGCACACACACGTATTAAAATTATAAACGTAATTAATAAAACGATTAATAAGTAACGAAAGAACAAGTTTTACAAGAGACGGTTCACCCACCAGTAAATCCAGTGGATCCCGTGACGCCAGTGGCTCCTGTTGAACCACTGCTACCTGTTACTCCAGACGCCCCTGGACCCCCTTGGAAACCCAGAAGTCCAGTCCACCCTGTAGCCCCTACTTGTCCAGTTGAACCTGTCATTCCTGTACTGCCCTGCATACCTGAGCCTCCTGAGAGACCTGGCTGTCCCGGCGGTCCCTGGACACCTGTCGGAGTTTTGGCACAGTTAGGTAAATAAATAAACAAACAAACAAACAGATAGACAAACGAACAACATTTATTTAACTGATGTAAATCAACCAGATTATCAAATCAACGAAACATCCAATATTTGAATCAATCATTCAAGCATTCATTGCTAACCGTTGATTAACCAGGCAATCCTAAACCAACAAACCTGCAATCAAACAAATAAAAATAACCAACCATTTTGTCCTTTAGGTCCCTGAATTCCACTTGATCCCTGCAGTCCAGTTGCACCAATTGAACCTACTGGACCAGTTGAGCCAAGAGGACCAGTTGCACCTACAGCTCCCGGAAGTCCATTCTTGCCTGAACTTCCTGTGGCTCCTGGGGGTCCGGTCTGTCCAGGCACACCAACAAATCCTGTTGAACCTGATGGTCCTGGCAAACCTGTCGGTCCGGCAGGGCCTGTAGCTCCCTGAACACCTGGATTACCTGTATTGCCTGTCGATCCTTGTACTCCAGAAAATCCTGGACAAACATATTTAATTTTGCAGAACTTAGATACAGTTAGACAGTTTAATACAAATTTCAGTTTAGTCAATCAATTAGATAAATTAAATTTATTTTTCACAAATCATAGGTAATATAAATGTTTCAATACAAAAGTTAATTAAAGTTGAAAAAGTAATTCTAATTTAATAAAACAAACCAGCGGGGCCAGTGTTTCCTAAACTTCCAGGAAATCCTGGCTGGCCAGAAGGTCCAGGTTGACCTTGCTGACCTTGTTGACCCGGTGAACCTGGTTGTCCAGCGTTTCCAGTAGCACCTGAGTAATGAAAAAGCTGAATTGATACAGCGAAAAAATCGCAAAATCTTAATTTAAAAAAAAAGTTAAAAATTGATAAAATTATTAAATATAGAAATTAATCTAAATTAGAAACCTTGAGGTCCTGTTGGTCCTTGGGGTCCTGCAAATCCAGTTTCCCCTGTAGTACCCTGCTGACCACCTGTTCCAATCTGACCAGGAAATCCGGTATCTCCCACTCTTCCAGGATCTCCTTTGTTGCCTGTTGCACCTTGAAAACCTGTTGCTCCAGTCCCACCAGTGGCCCCACTAGCCCCAAAAGCTCCTGTTGCGCCAGTGGATCCTGTTTGGCCCATAATTCCAGAAAATCCAGTTGATCCTTGAGGGCCACTAGAACCTGTAACACCTCTGACTCCTGTCAACCCTGTAGCACCTGTAGCACCCTGCTGACCTTGAACTCCTGTTCCTCCCATTATTCCAGGAAAACCTTTCGGACCACTTGCACCTGTTCCTCCCAACTGTCCCGATGATCCCGTCATTCCCGTAGCACCGGTACCACCCGTTGCACCTGCGAAGTGGTCAGTTGTTCGCTAGATTTATATTTTTCATTTATATATAATATTTATAATAATGGATCTAAAAAAATTTCTTTGGTTTGAGTTTGGAATAAAATATATAAACTCTTGCGTTAAAAGTACAAATAAACCCAAATAATTTGCATGATGGTTTATATTGAAAAAAACACTCAACATAAAGGCTACTAACCCTGTTGACCAGGTTGACCGGGACCACCATTATTGCCTGGATCACCTGTGGGTCCTGGCACACCTCTCGATCCTGGCACCCCTGCAATACCAGGTCCACCTGTAGCTCCAATGAGACCTGTACTTCCGGTCAATCCAGTAACGCCTGTAGCACCAATCATACCAGGGGCCCCCTGTTGCCCGGTTCCTCCAGTGGCTCCTGGCATTCCAGGAAAGCCTGTATCTCCAGTACCCCCATTCACACCCGTACGACCAGTAAATCCCACTGGTCCTTGGCCACCTATAGGTCCTGGAAATCCTGGTGCCCCAAGAACACCTGTAATACCCTTCGGACCAGAGTTACCTGTTGCACCTAATGGACCCTGTGGACCAGATTGACCAGTGTTACCAGGTGAGCCCGGTAATCCAGGTGATCCAGAGGAACCAAAAGATCCAGGTGTACCTTTATGTATTTGAAAAATTTTTAAATAACAAACTAACATTTCTAGATGACGGCATGAATGAGCACAGCATGTGGAGCAAACCAAATGTCTTCTAATAATTTTTCAGTACGACTTAAAAATGAACATATGCCGTTGTCGCCAATTGTAAAAACGGATGAAAAATATTCGATAAATGCATTAGCCATCACAACATTGTTATTGTTAATTCGCAGACTGGCAATCTGAGGTTTAGAAAACAGTTTATTGTTGACGTATTGATAAAATCATTGAATATTCGCCTTTTGATAAACAACTTGTTTTCTCTGTTTCTGCGGTATGAGTTGGCTAAAATGAAGCATTTCTAGGATATCTTCAAATAATGATCTTTGCCAACTGGATTTGAACTTGATTTCCATTTTCTCCAAAAATAAAGTTTTGTCTTGTACGATAAATAAAGAAATTATGGAATTAAGTTTGGAGACGATAACCGTTTACGACATATCTTGGAAACGAAAATTGGTATCGCATGATGGATTATTCGTTCAAACGTTTCCCAATACATATCGATGTTAAAACAATATTGAAAACAATCATTCCAGTTTATGCTTGACAAATATTCATTAAGATAATTATAATCAGCTCTGTTGAAATAAAAAAAATATGCTTTGTTGCATGGCTCAACGTTTGATGACTTGTCGACAAAACAATTGATTGGAAATGTTGTGATCACCTGAGGCAAGCTGTGATCATGTTGTGATCACCTGAGGCAAGCAGACTGATGACCTTTAGCTCGGCCAGTAAACTGGTGTCATCTGATAGCACCAAGTCTAAAATATATATATATATAGAATATCTAAAATTTAATAAAACAACTTACCATTGGGTCCTGGTGATCCTTGAGGACCAGGAAATCCAGTAGGTCCTTTAAAACCTGTAGGTCCTGTATCACCTGTATCTCCCGTCCATCCTGTATCCCCAAAAGCGCCGGTTGCACCCATCGTTCCGGAGGATCCAGTTGCACCTGGCATTCCCTGATTTCCAGGCAGGCCAGGGAAACCAGTAGAGCCAGCAGGACCAATCAAACCTGTAGCACCTGTGTTGCCCATTTGCCCCGTAGATCCTGGTGTACCCTGGTCCCCTCGTGCACCTGTAGGACCTTGAGGACCTGGACTGCCTGTAGCACCTGAGTAACCTGTGGGACCTGATGATCCCGTCATTCCTGGAAATCCTGCTCCTCCCGTTCCCCCTGAATTTTTCATAATAATAATCATTACCTCGTCGTCAATGTCATATTCTACATGCAATAACCACAACAGTCACAAGCCATATATAACAACTGCTATCACAATTAAATTTAAACTATTGGAAATGCCAAGCGTCTCATCAACATTACAATACCTTGCTGTCCAGGCTGTCCAGACGATCCTGTGCTACCTTGGTTACCAGGCAAACCAGGTGGACCCATGATCCCTGTGGGACCCTGAGGTCCTTGTGGTCCCTGAGGTCCTGGAGGTCCAACGGGGCCTTGAAAACCTGGACCTCCTGGCCCACCTGTAGCTCCGGTGCTGCCCGGTTGACCCGTTGATCCTAGTGGACCTGACGGACCCTGCGGCCCAATCATGCCTAAATTTCCAAAATATTGTGGGAAGGAAGAATAGTTTGAGACGTTTTGAGAAATAATCAGTTTAAAATTACTTATATTTAAATTAACTCCTTTGAAAGGTTGTCGGGCTCGATAAACTTCGCGTTTTACCTCAATCATCCTAACGATTTTTTTTCCATTTATTTGGGATTGTTGTTGAATAAAAGATCATTTCATTTCATTCATTATGTAACAAACAGTTGATGAAATTCTAAAGCAGAAATAAAGTCATAAACTAATATATCAATAGGAACAAAACAACGCCATTCAATTTAAGTTTTTCAATTGATAAGTCGTAAGATTTGAAAATAAAATTTTCAATTAATAATAAACCATAGTGATCTTATTTTAGCTTCAAAATTAGCGGGGCTGCCAATGTTGCAACTGCTCAAAAAAAAAAATAAATAAATAAATGTAGCTATTCCGCTATTAACAACCTTGACGCTGTTAATAATAATTGTATTTTTGATGAAGATCGTAAAATGTTTTTAATAGATACAAATCCTTAATATCATAAAATGAGGTCACACCTGTTGCACCAGTTGGCCCAGAAAAACCAATAACCCCAGTTGATCCAGGTGTTCCTTTCGATCCCGTGACTCCCACAATACCTGGGTTCCCCGGAAGCCCAGGCTGCCCTTTAAATCCAGTATTTCCTAGAGATCCTATCGCACCTGTTGAACCAGCGACACCTGGTTGTCCTGTAGCACCTGTGTTGCCAACATCACCTGGATAGCCAGTACCACCTTGGATACCTTTCCTACCAGTAGATCCTGTCATTCCAGTTAATCCAGTTGCCCCTGCTGGTCCCTGGGATCCCTGGGATCCTGGAAATCCCTGAGGTCCTGCAAATATTGAAAATTTTATAAATTACTCCAATAAGAAATAAACAATAATTTTATTACCATAACGTAAATAATATCATAACGTAACCACATTCATTAATGACTACTACTACAATTGTTTTAATTTAATCTACCTAGTTAATGTTGAATGATTTTAATTGAATGAACGAAATGTTAATGTTAAAATATTACAACATTGATGAAACAAATAGAAGTTATGTAAAAGCTCACCTGGCACCCCGTTAGGACCAGTAGCTCCTGTCCCTCCAATTCCTCCTTGTAACCCATTCTCACCTGGATTACCATCCGGTCCCGGCATTCCCTGGGGACCAGTATTTCCACTTAAACCAGTCATTCCTGTACTCCCTGTGGCTCCTGTTCCTCCAGGCAGACCCGGCTGACCTGTCAATCCAACCACACCAGGAATGCCTGCAGGTCCAAAAAACCCTTCCAGGCCAGGTCTGCCAGAAGGACCTACAATTCCAGTTGCGCCTGTTGCACCAGGAAGACCTGTTAGACCTTGAGGCCCTTGAAAACCTGTAGACCCAGTAAATCCTTTAGGTCCTGGAAATCCTTGTGGTCCAAATGGACCAGGATTTCCTGTAGCTCCAATTGATCCAGGAGAGCCAGTAGCTCCTGTTGATCCGCTTGGTCCTGGAGCACCTGTACCACCAATGACACCTGTATTACCTATCAATCCAGGTATGCCAGTGGCTCCCGTAGCACCAAGCTGCCCTGGTACACCATTCAATCCAGGGTTTCCAGCAAAGCCAGTTGAACCTTGAGAACCTAGATTACCTGAATCTCCTGGATTTCCCATGATTCCTGTATTACCTGTAGCTCCTGTTGACCCTGGAGCACCAAATCGTCCAGGTGAACCCGGTAGTCCAGTACCACCTGTGATTCCGGTTATACCCATTGCACCTGTTTGACCAACAGCTCCTTGCTGACCAGGTGAACCTGTTGCTCCGCGATTTCCAGCTGCACCTGTAGGACCTCTGGTACCATCAATGCCCACAGCACCCGTAGGACCTTGTACGCCTGTTGAACCACTTGATCCAGGTAGACCAGGTCTCCCAGTAGCTCCTGACGCTCCTTGAAGACCTGGCGACCCTCTAGGACCTGTGTCTCCAGTAGAGCCAGTATACCCAACAGATCCTTGTGAGCCCAAAATTCCTCCATTACCTGGAAATCCAGTTGGTCCTGTGGCTCCTGGAAAACCTGGCATACCTGGATTACCTGTTGAACCTGGATTTCCAGACAATCCTGGTATTCCAGTCAATCCAGTAGAACCAGTGAAACCAGGCTGACCTGTGTCCCCTTGTGGACCTTGAGCTCCCTGTTGCCCTGGTTGTCCATCTATCCCTGTGGTACCAAGTATTCCTGTAGCACCAAAATCACCCGTAGCACCTGTTGCACCGAAAAAACCTGTACTCCCTGGTAATCCAGAAACCCCTGTAGGACCTTGAGCACCTGGATTTCCAGTATAACCCATTGGACCTGTTGCTCCTGTAGACCCGGAAAGTCCGTCGTATCCCGCAAACCCTGTTTGTCCAGTTATTCCTGTAAAACCGGGAGGTCCATCTGGCCCAGGAGGTCCACGAGGACCTGGCATACCAGTTGATCCAGAAAAACCAACTACACCACCAGTGCCCAATGCTTGAGAACCACCAGGTGTACCAGGCGGACCTTGCATTCCTGAGGCCCCTGTATCGCCCATTGCACCATTTGATCCTGGAAAACCCGATTGACCCTTCGGACCTTGAGGACCTAACTGCCCTTGAGGCCCAGTAGCCCCTGTGTTACCTAAAAAGCCCGTATAACCAGGAACTCCTGTAATTCCTGTACCTCCGCTGGAACCTGTGAATTGGTTTTATAATGTGGTGCCTTACAACGTAATACAACACTAAGCACGACACCTAAACTGTATCACAACAAAAGTACAAGACATGATGACGAGTGTGTCCTTTTACATAAAAACACAAAAGCATGAGGCACTGGTCCGATACAAAATTACATTACATTTGTGCAATACATCATCTACCAAAATATTTGTAGACAAACAAAACATGTTTGAATAAAATAATATTAAAAACCAGTATTTCCGGTAGCTCCTGGTTGCCCACTTGAACCAGTCGATCCACTGCTACCTGTATCACCAGTAGCACCTGTGTAACCTGTACTTCCTGTTTGACCAGTAAATCCTGGCACACCTGGATAACCTTGAAGCCCGGGTTGACCAGATTGTCCTTGACTTCCAAGCTGACCAGTCGCACCTGTATTACCTTTGCCTCCCACTGTTCCAAAACCAGGAGGACCCGGAATTCCAGGGGGTCCAGTGGCTCCGACATCACCTGCTGGACCTGTTCCACCTGTTCGACCTGGTGTACCCTGAGGACCAATTTGTCCAGTTTGACCAAATTGTCCAGGATTTCCAGTTTGACCTTGATCACCGGTAAAACCAGTTTGACCCTTCCCACCTCCAGTTCCAGTGGCTCCGGTGAATCCTGTGTCACCGCTGTAGCCCGGCAGTCCAGAGTATCCTGGCATACCATTGGCTCCAGTGGCTCCAGGTACACCAGTAGCACCTGTAGATCCAGTAACTGTTTGTCCATTGATGGAAGGACCTGGTTGACCTTGAGGTCCTTTAGGACCAACCTCTCCTACCTGTCCAGTAGCTCCCATTAATCCAGTATCTCCAGTTGATCCTGATAAACCAGTACTTCCTTGTGGACCCTGTGGTCCTTGAGTTCCAGGTTGACCCGGTGGACCAATGGGTCCTATAAAGCCAGGCGAGCCAGCAATGCCTGTAGAGCCCGTAGATCCAGTCCCTCCTGTTGAACCTGATGCACCTGTAGACCCTGTCGATCCTGGTGGTCCAGCAGGGCCAGGTGGTCCAGTGGAGCCGGTGGCACCAGGTAATTTATTGATGCCTGTTCCCGGAGGTCCTGTTGCACCAACTGGTCCAGATGGTCCACTATCTCCTGGTGGACCTGTAGCTCCCATCAATCCAGTTGAACCTTTTGTTCCTGAAACTCCTGTGTTCCCAGGATCACCCGAAATGCCTGGAGGTCCAATAGATCCGGAAGGTCCAGATGGACCCGGTGGGCCCATTGGACCAGTGGCACCAGTATCTCCTTGATTGCCATTTCCCGTGACACCTGTAAAGCCGGTTGCTCCAGTATTTCCCACACTTCCTGTTGACAAAAAAGATAATTTGCATCTTCAACTTGAATATCAATTTATATTTTTAACATTTTACATTCATCTTTTAAAATAAACATTTATTTAACTTAAAAACTAGGAAACAATAATTTTTAAAAATTTAAATTACAAGTGATAAAATAAAGAACACTTGAAAAAACCTGGTGGGCCTGGATATCCTTGATATCCAATCGGCCCCGTGGCGCCCGTGTCTCCTGGCGGTCCAGGAATCTCTAACAAGAAAAAATTTTTTGAAAAAATTATGAAGAGAAATTATATAAAGAAAAATAAAAATGCAATAAAAGTCAATAAAAATTATTAGAATGTGATTTATTATGAAGCAATTAAACACAAAAGCCAGCAAATGCCGATAATAATTGATATAAAAAACTGAAACATTTCAATTATTATTAAATTTAATATTAGTAGTTGTTGAAATTTTTAACAGATTATCAAGAATTTAAATTTCAAGTACTTGGATCGACTTCAGCAGCCAAACTAAGTGCACTAAAATACACAGAATTAGTATTAATGACAGTATTCAACACTGGGTACTGTGGATTGCTGTCATCCAGACTGTATGTTAATGTTTGGTAATTGTCCTGCGACTGTTTCGAGATCGGGAAAATTTTTGATTCTATGGTAACTCCTAGGCAATCCTTTCTATCAGTTAGGAAGTACGAGGTGTCATCGTATGCCTTGATCTGATGTTGCAAAAATTGTAAATTTTATTAATTTACTTTGAAAAAGATGATATTCACCATGATTAAACATGCCAAAATGAACAAATTTCAATTAGAAAAGTATTAAAAACAGAAAAGTAACAAACGATGTAAATGTATCCATCAGACTGAGCATCACTGATCACAAAAACTCTTCTCTCCCAGACCAGCTGATACTGAGTCGTTTGAACCAAATTTACGTTCGTTGGCCTCCAGATTTGCACTCTGACTGAAATGTTCTGTGGTTGGGGGAAAGAGTGGAAATAGAAATTTTTCAAAACTCCTTTCCCAAGAGTTCGTTCACTGTCAATGAAAATTTTCTGGGCTCCCGATTCATCAGCCATTTGAAATGTGTTAAACGTCACATTGTTGCCGAAGAAATTATTGTGACCTTGAAACTGGAAGGTCAAGTTTCCTAGGTGTCGTTGAATTTATTTTATCAGATTTGTTGTTAGAAAATGGCAGTTTATTTAGAAGTTGTTGAGTAACGTTTGGTCGTTTATTAATTTTTGATAAGACTTAATTAATTAAATATTTAATAACGCTTTTAAAATAATAATCTTGATTCGTTGACTTTGAATTTGTCATGAGACGAAAAAAAAGATTAAGAAAAACGTGCCGTGTGTGGCATATTTGACTGCAAAAAATCAAATTAGTTACCGTAAGTCCTATTTGCCGGAACATCTTGAAAACAAAAAAAAAAAAAAAAAAATTAGGGAAACATAACACAGACCATACGCATAAAATAATTT